TAATTAGTTAGGGAGTAGCCACAGCATCCTTAATCAGTTAAAATTATATATTGAGTTGTTACGGTCGCATAAAGTTTTAGACACATCAATTGTGATTAATTGTATGTAATATGGTGGAATTTAGCCCACAGAAAATTTCTTTATATTTGTATGATTAATTAGGATGAAATACTGAACTATGATCATAATTTAGCCCACATGCAATTATGTATCGGAATGTAGTTTAGTAGTTTTATCAATGATGATAGGAATAAAGAATTTTATTTACTTTATGAATAATTCTCATCTCTATCATGAAGCTTAATTTTATGATGTAAACTTTAGGTCATATATCTTAATTTGCCCACAATGATTAAGATAAGGAACATGATCTCTTAAGTTTTTTGTCATAATGGTTGTAATTTATCTACTTGAATTAAAACTTTAGCCCACAGGCAAGTTTTATGTCACTAGATTCTTCAACTCATTTGATAATTGTTTCATCATAAAATTTCAGTTGGATCTAATCGAGTATAACTTTAGCCCACAGACAAGTTTTATGTCACTAGATTCTTCTGACTATTTATATTAGTAATTGAGATAAAATACTATCATAAATGTTTAATTGAATTTAATAGAATTAAAACTTTAGTCCACAGACAAGTTTTATGTCAATAAATTCATCAACCCATTAGATAGTAATTTTATCTCACTTTCTTAGAATTTAAAAATTTAGTTCAATTATAATTCTAAGTTTCATGGTTTGCATTGACAAAACATGTATTTAGTCACTTTCCAAATTTTAGATACACCTTTTATTAATTATTTTTCACGAAACTTACTTGGTTATTTGGACTAACTATAGTAAGTTGCGTGGTATGATATACCTCTTTTGGATTTCAATAATAAAATATATCTTTTGAGCCAGATTCCAACTTGGTTTTGGAAGACGTATTTTATTATTTTAGTATGTCCAACTATGATGGAGAATCATGTCCTCATTCATTATTCATTTAGTTGGACTATAATTGGAACCAAATATTGATTATTTAGTATGCCCAACTAATGGTGGGGAATTATATCTTCATTATTTAGTTGGTCAAATCAATTATGAGTGTTATATCATTAATTTGGCTAAAGAATATCTTAATCAGTGGGAGCGATCATTTAGAAAAAGATCATTAAAATACTCCACTAAACCTGATGGATTTAATTGATACATTCCAAATTGGATGTGCGTCTAGCAATAAGCCCAAAAGTTTCCACAAGTATTAATTTAGTTTTTTGTTCTTATAATTCATAAGTTCATTTCACTGAACGTTTGGTTGTACAACATATTTATGAAAATTTTGTAACAATATTAATGAATTTATTAGAACGAAAGCATTTAACTTGTGGTGCATTGCCAATTAATAAATTCTTTAGCAATTAATAGAGTTTTTAGGTTCTTCAAAATTGATCCTGGGTATTGAGCAGTTAGAGTATATGTAGGAGTAGTTAGATTATCTCTCAGATAGTTAGCTTAATTCTTGTTGTTTCCCTTGTATAAATTGCTGTGAGTTTTATCATTGAATACATACAGAATTTACATCCAATCATCCTGGGCCATTTTAGTTTGTAAGGCTCAAAACAATTTTGCAAGACATATAAGTAAGACTCATTATGTTCAATTAATTTCGAGGTGGACCTTAAGGTTATTTGGGAAGTTGGTGTATGTTTAACATTCCAAATTATGGACTTAGACCTTTTGGTTTGTTGTCTAAGTTATTGGAATTTTTCTGTGACTTGACTATCTTTTGGTTATCTTAATGAGTGGGAGTGACAGACGTGTCAACTCCAAGCTCTTAGCCGTTAGAGATAGTGCTTATGTTAACTTATAATGAAGTCATAGAATAAAGTTAGCATTATGTTAACATTAAGAGATCTCTACTTAAGGCATGCTTCTAAGATTTTGGAGATCATACAGTGAATTTGGATGGTTTCTTCCTTCAGTTGTGCACATAATATATTTTGGGAAACATCCATTAAGGGACTAAGAATAAAAGTAGGGTTTGTTCATTAAGAACCTAAGTTAGGAAATTTAAATGCATGTGATCATAGAGGATATTACTCACTTGATTAGTAGAGGACGTATTACTATGATTCATGTGTTTTGTTCTTTAATAAAGGTTGTGCCAGTACTTGCACCAAGTGGGAGAATGTAAGTATTTTTCCTAAATACAATATATTATAATATATTGTATTATTGGGTGGCTGTGGTGCAAGTAGGAGATTGAGTCAATTAGTGACTTAATCTGTTATGCAACTCAGCATATTCAGTTAAGCTTTAACTGAATATATGCCTACGTTGATAGCATGTAGGCTTCTAAGCAAAACAGTCTTCCCACAGCTCACATGTTCAGAATACACGCACCATCAGGTATTCGGGAGAGAAGTGGTAGACAAAATGCTAACCTTTATTCAGCAGGTTTACCTTCCCGTGGCAACACCAACAACTATGGCTAGAGACATTTGGGAATTCTAAAGCTTCCGCTATTACGGGTCACGTTACTCGTTTACTTCAGTTTATGTTAGTCAATTTATTATCTAACAGAGTAACAGAAGATGCATTGCATACATGCAAATCAAGATCGACGCCGCCTCCATCACCACTGCGGCCACCACCGGAGAAGAGCTCCACCATGCCCCCATCGTCGCCACGCATGCAACTCCCGGCAAGGTGTTTATTGAATTCGCACCCATCAAAGAATTCAGAGCAGTTCCACCCGCAGTCCAATCTGAAACGTACTGGAGCAGCTAAGTTTCAAACCAATGTTATCAATCTTGTCTTACCACTTTGAAGCTGTTCTCATTGTTAATCAGAATGTTTGTAAACTTTGCTACCTGCATAGTGGTTTTCCACTTGAAATCTATCGTCACGCCATCCCATGCATGCCGTCCACCACCTCTGTGCGTCGCCGACCCCCACGGACGGCTACCGTACCAGACTTCATTAAACTTAAAAAAAAAATAAGTAATAACATAAACCCATAGCACCCGCACCCGCACCCATGATCAGAGAGGGAAGTTTCTATCATGGAGCCGCGGGCGAACGCCGCCGTAGAATTCGAGTCAGCGGAGAAGATAGTGCTCCGATGGGACTCGACCACGTCGGAGGAGGCCAGGGAGAAGATGAACAGGAGGAAATCAATCAGTACTTGCAAGCCGTCGATGAAATCCAACGGTCTGTAGAGTCCACCACACTGTTCATGACCAGAGCAAAGCCAACAGCGCGATCCAGATCGCCATGGCTGGGTTGGAGGATGAGTTTCGGAACATCCTCATCGCTCACACCAGCCCGATCAAAGTGGAGTTACTGTCCGACTTGAAATCATCTTCTTCCTCGATCAACTACTCCGCCACCTCCAGGACCACCTGCGGCGAATAGTTGGACAGTAAAGATGGAGGTTTCGTGCAGTGAAGAAACAGCTGGAGCATCAGGGTGAACTGGAAGGGTTACAAGAAGAAGAAAATGGTCAAATGGGGTGGAATGGACCAAAATACCCCCAACTTAACGGTTGTTTGACGCAAAATGTAACGGAGGACCAATTTGGGGTAATTTTTAAAAGTCAATGGACCACATTGGGTGTAATTGAAAGTCGAAATGCAAAATTGAGAATGAGTGATAGTCGAAGGACCATTTTGGAAAAAAACTCCTTTATTTTCTACAATTGAAAGATTCATTACCTTTAAATTTATTAATACAAAATATGTTATAATACACTGTCTTGTAATTAAATATTAAAGTTATAATACAAAATATGTTATATATATTCATTTACCAACTATTTTACACAAATATAATAAATATTAATATTTTGTTCAATACTTTCACATGAAAACCTACGACACACATCTCACAACGCATGAAACATGTAGGGGAAAAACTACCACTACCAAATATCAATAGGTGCTTGTAAGATAAAGAGTTAATAGTATAACTAAGATCCTATCACATACACAACAAGGCAAATCTAAAGATTTCTACACCATAATCTCATTGCACGATAAATCCATCTATAGTACCACCAATAACCCAATTGCACATGGCACACTACCAATAACAAAAAAGAAAAAGAAAAAAAAGACATGTACTGAAAATGAAGACGATGACAATGCTACCCAAAAGTAATTAAGAAAAATTAGAGAAATTTAAACCAAAAGTAGTATTTATTTAGACTATCATTTTAGACTAAGTATTTAGACTAACGTTATTACAAAGATACAAACATTTATTTTAGTGACAATAAAATCAATCTCTCATATATTATCTTGTATTTATATACTTTAAATTACCGATTTAAATAAACTAATTCAATATTTATTTACTTATGCATGAACATCTTCGATATAATATTGCATTGATATACTTTGAAATAATTATTTAAAAATAATCATTGGGCATTATTTCATTCTCACAAAGCGCGTAAAAGAACTAGTGATATAAGAAAGGGTAAAGTAACAAAAATAATAAAAAAAATACTAATATCAAAATAATATGTACCATTCATTATTTCATCAACCGATTACACCTATAATTTTTAGTTCACATTAGGCACATAACTTTATTGACTCTTATTAGATTTGTAGATATAATACATATAATCCAATCTCAGTAAACAGTAACTCACTACTGAACACACCTCAAAAACCTCCACTTTTCCAATATGGAGTAACATATATTACAAGTGCGGCATGAACATCATCTCAATAAAGCTTTTAGTGAACAACCTTCTACTAAACACACCACAATAACCCCACTTTACCATGTATATACTATACGCGTGTTCATTCGTTAATCAAAAGGGACGTTTCAACTTGCAATGTATATTCAGGATAAAATCAAACCTCATTCACATGCAATGGTCTCCTCTTATATATCTTATCTTATAGATGGCCCACATCCCTCTACACTCTTCAATGTTACTAATACTCTTCTGTATATATAGCCCACTCTAGCATAGTTATAGGCCCGCACCTCAGCTCAATTCAATTCTTTCTTCATTCACTACAAAAGAAACGAAAAGATCATGGCAAAGTTGTCCAGATCAAACGGGAAGAAAAAGAATGGCATGAACCTCAAGACAATGGTACAAATGTTTCAAAAGAGTTTTTTAGCAGATCATCAGAGGTCATCCCTGAATGATTTTGACGAGTTCGAGAACTCCAAGGATGTGTCTAATGACGTTAAAGAAGGGCATTTCGCGGTGATGGAGGTGGACAATGAGAAGCGCAAGAGATTGATTCTTCCTCTAAGTTGTTTAATGCACCCTTCATTCTTAAGGCTGTTGGAAAAAGCTGCAGAGGAATATGGGTTCGAACATGAAGGCGCACTCATTCTTTCTTGCAGGCCAATTGAATTGGAGAGGATTCTTGCCAAGCAATATATTGGAAAAGTAGATTGGAGTTCTTGTACAACTCAAGAGCTTTTATGTTCAAATTAAATATACAAGTGAATAGATCAGATTGTCCAATTTCATTTTTTTTTGTTAGTTCATACAATTCAATTTTGATCCACATTTCAAAGTATTTTATTTTAAAATGTTTAATTGTGTTTCTCGATACTTACAATATAATTTCTATACATAAATGGTTTAATGGTGCTCTGTTTAATACTAAGTAAATAAGTTTGCTAATGAAGTTGTTGATGATATTTACTCAAAATATTTTTGAGTTGCGCTTGATATATAAGCCAATTGAGCTAGAATAATTTCATAGTTTGCCTTTCATTGGCACTCAACTAAGGTTGGTTGAAACTTAAATGTGTCAAGTGAGTAAAGGTGTGCCAATTATAATGTTAAACATGTTTGGATTACTTAGCATAGAAATCGAGGAAGTTGAACATGGGGATTGTGAAGCCGCAACTATATTAAAGGATCCCTACATTAGAATGCTATGTATTTGTAACTATTAGAGTTATAGTATATTAGGATCAAAGACTTACTGCTATGCCAAAAGAACATTAGCTAGTAGTAAAGACGCAATTTTTCATATTTCTCTAACAGCTCATGATATGATAGATGTTGAATTTTGCCCTTCAAGCCAATACCTAACATAATACATCACTTTTGGTAACAAAAAGGTATGCACTCAATATGCTCAAAGTTAAGAAATCTGTTGCAAACATTTTTGTCAATTATATAGCAAAAACCTAGAATCACTCCCCGAAAACATAAAATTTGGCGTACATAACATCAATCGCACAAACTTAACGGTAGCAGAACTTTGATTGAAGTCACAAAACTGCTTCAAAACTCATCATCTATGGCATGTACGTACTACCTCTCCTCTCTTCTCATTTCATCTCATCTCCATTGTCTTGGACAACCTTCTTAGAACTCATTAGATCATGATGGATAATATACTAGGCCTGAGCCACACGGACCGGCCCATGAAAGAAACTGGATGGAGGAATCCCAAGAAAGATATATGATATGGAGCAACCCAAGAGTTTGTCAAAGATTGGGCATGTTATTCCCAATATAATTAGAACTGGAGTCATTATTTATAGTATAATAGAATTAGGACTCATTATGTAACTAAGACTCACAATATGAGGCAATTTAGAATTCTTATTCCTTGTAGGTCTCTAGGCCCAAAATATGTATAAATAGACCTCTCACATAAATGAGAAGGGGGAACAACTTTCTCTATTCACGATCAATACTCTTCAATACAAAGTTCCTATATTTTCTCCATATATTTTCCTTATATTTCTCCCATATTCTCGCTATTCAAACGGTAGTGTTGGCCTGCCGTTGACTGTCCAAAAGTCATAAAACCAAGATTGGCGCCGTCTGTGGGGATCGATACGAAAAGTTTACGTTCGTCCCTCAAACCTAAAGCACACGATCGAAACCCTAATCATGGGGAGCACTCGCCATAACACTCGCACTGGCTGGTTCGTTCGGGATCTGCGAGAAACCCTCAATCGGCCTACCTCTCGCATGTTGTCCGGTCGGTCAGTGCCCCCGAAGGGAGGTGCCAACCTGGAAAGTCCTCGAGAAAAGGGGACAATTCATCCGAGCACACGCACACCGGTCGTTGGCGTCTCACAGACCCGACCGGTCGAACTTCCTCCCACTGTAGTGGAGGCCGCTGAGCACCTCCTGGGTGTCTTGCAACGTGACTGCATACTGAGAGGCGATTCCCCATTGGACCCCCCTCGTCAATATCATTCGGACATAACCAACAAAAAGGACAGATCACTCGAGAGAACGTAGGGATCTAACCCATCCAGAGAACATCGCCTCATGGTTTCAACCCTTGACCGCCTAGGAATTTCAAGCCAACGACCCCCCACCCCACGACTGGGATAGAACAACCCAACAGTTAAACGATCGCGACGGAAAACAAGGCTCAACCCTCAACGACGAGCGAAAGCTGCTCAAATGGCATTCCTTTGCGCGCAAGAATCACAAGGGGAGGAGCGTAATAGAGAAGGTTATCTAGATAGTCTGCTAGAAAGTTGTGGTGAGACCCCCGACCTCCAGATGGAGACTAAGGGTAGAAAGGACCGGCCGGCCACTCGGTCTCCGCTGTCCACTAACCTATTCACTATAGAAAATCAAGAATATCGCGCACCAAGAGACTTTGAATTCCCTGTGATGCTCACGTTCGATAGGACGGGCAACCCCGATGACCACTTGATCGACTTTCGAACAGGGATGAGGATGATAGGAACGGATGGTCCTATGTACTGCGATGCCTTCTTCTCAACACTAAGTGGGATAGCGCAGCAATGGTTCACGTCACTACCACCCCAATCTATCAATTGTTTCGAGACCCTGGCAAAGCAATTTTTAACGCACTTCGCTGGAAACATAAGAGACAAAAAATACTCTATGGCCTTAACTTCAGTACAACAAGAGGAGTTAGAGACATTGGAAAAATTTCTAAAGCGATGGCAAGAACAAATGCAGACAGCAGAGGACTTGGACGATCGAACAGCGCTAACATTGTTAATGGAAGCATTAAGGTCCGGGGATCTACTCACTAGCCTGCGAAGAAAAAACCCCGAGACCTATGCCCAAGCCATCCAGTGGGCCCATAAATACGCAGATTCAGAGGAAGCCTTGCGACAGAAAAGGAAGAGGAAAGAAGAACGACCTTGCGAAGATATAAGAGCACATTTGGATGATCGACCGTCAGAAAAGAAAAATAAATCAAGTGTCCACAAGGAACCCATCAACCATTGTTACAGAGCGATCCCCGAACTAGGGTCCCGACCAGCGTACAATGCAAAATTACCTCGCCATACATCGGCCACGAGCCGACCACTACCACCCCTCTCACAACCAATCAACTGGTAGCTGTATATGAAACCTGCCGCTAGAAGACCTAAATATTGTCGCTACCACCGGAAGGCAGGTCACACCACCGAAGAATGCACCACTCTACAAAAGGAGATCGGAAACCTCATCCATAGAGGAAGACAGGTCACTCGCCCCAATCAGTGGTCACGACAACCGACGGAACCAGCCGAGGATCCCGTCCATAGAGGAAGACAGGCCACTTGCCACAACCAGTGGTCATGACAACCGACGGAACCAGCCGAGGATCCCGTCCATAGAGAAAGACAGGCCACTCGCCCTAACCAGTGGTCACGGCAACCCGCACAACCAGCTGAGGATCCCATCCATAGAGGGAGACCGGTCACTCGCCCCAACCAATGGCCACTACTACCCACGCAACTAGCAGGGGACATTATCCCTACAGAACAAAAAGTAGAACCCTCACCGGAAAGTCTCAGTTGGCAAGACGACGACTGTGAGGAACAGGAAGATCGAAATTGGAAACACAAGCCCAAAATTCACTAGGAAAGCAAGACCTACAAATTCAAACCAAGAAGACACATTCGGAATTCAAGGCGGCTCAAGAAACACTATCAATGGTTGGGAAAATAATCTCGCATGGTTAGTTACTATGTACCATAGACTATCATATTATAGAATTTTAATAAAGTCATCAGTTCGATCTGAAAGGATTCCCGCGCCCACCCTTTACATGAAGTAAATGCATTCAAAATCCACGACAAGGAGGAAAGATTGCTTGTCACTCGCACCCTGGTAGTCCTGCCACTCTCTAGGACAGGCACCACATAAAGACAATAGGGAGCGTTACACGACGATGACCTCCAATATACATAAAATCATCCAGACTAATCACGTGCTTTGCCACCTCGTCATCCAGACTAGTCATCTTAGCTGGTCACCCCGATTGGTCATCTAGGCGAACCAGTCATCCCACCACCCAGTGGTCAACATACCTTCCCACTTCTAAATGGTCGACAGACCTTCCCACCTCTCAGTGGTCAACTGGTCATCCCACCACCCGGTGGTCAACAGACATTCCAACATCTCAGTGGTCGACTCGTTTTCCCACCACTTGGTGGTCGACAGACCTTCACACCTCTCAATGGATGACGGACCTTCCCACCACTCAATGGTCTATAGACATTCCAAACTCTCAATGCTCGACTCTTTTTTCCACCACTCAGTGGTTGAAGGACCTCTTCACCTCTTAGTAGTCGACAGACCTTCCCACCCCTCGGTGGATAGTTCGAACTAGATCACGTACGGAGTAGTAATCAAATTATAGTAAAACAAGCAAAGATGACTGTTAGAAGGATGAACTTGACAATATCAGGTGAAGGAAAGTCTAACAAATGACAGGGTGTCAGGGGTAGGGGTCTAGTATAGGGCCTAGGGGTTATAGGAGAGAAGTATAGTCAATATAAAGTCTAGTGTAGAGTCTATGAGTCACCAGGGTATAAAGCATAATCGACAAGAAGTGGTCAAAAGGAGTATGGGATATCATAAATCTGAGAACGGCAGACGTTCTCAGATAATATTTGGCGGATAGGCATACTGGCTGAGAACGGGAGACGTTCTCAGGAAAGCCATTGGCGTAATGGCATACTGGCAGAGAACGGACGACGTTCTCAAAAATCTTTGGTGGTTGGGCGTACTGGCTAAGAACGGGTGACGTTCTCAAAAGCCGTGGGCGGATGAAAATATTGACTAAGAACAGGAGACCTTCTCAGATAATATTTAGCGGATGGGCATACTGGCTGAGAACGGGAGACGTTCTCAGGAAAGCCATTGGCGGAATGGCATACTGGCAGAGAACGGACGACGTTCTCAAAAATCTTTGGCGGTTGGGCGTACTGGCTAAGAACGGGTGACGTTCTCAAAAGCCATGGGCGGATGAAAATATTGACTAAGAACAGGAGACCTTCTCAGATAATATTTGGCGGATGGGTATACTGGCTGAGAACGGGAGACGTTCTCAGGAAAGCCATTGGCGGAATGGCATACTGGCAAAGAAAGGGTGACGTTCTCAAAAATCTTTGGCGGTTGGGCTTACTGGCTAAGAACGGGTGACGTTCTTAAAAGCCATGGGCGGATGAAAATATTGACTAAGAACGGGCGACGCTCTCAAAAATCTTTGGCGGTTGGGTGTTATGGCTAAGAACGGGTGATGTTCTCAAAAACCATGAGCGGATGAATTTATTG